AGATCCATTGATTTGGCTAAGGTAGGAAAGAATCTATTATTTGTTTCCTAAAGCAAATTGCATTAATGGGAGAGATCCATTGATTTGGCTAAGGTAGGAAAGAATCTATTATTTGTTTGCTAAAGCAAATTGCATTAATGAAAGAGATCCGTTGATTTGGCTAAGGTAGGAAAGAATCTATTATTTGTTTCCTAAAGAAAATTGCATTAATGAGAGAGATCCATTGATTTGGCTAAGGTAGGAAAGAATCTATTATTTGTTTCCTAAAGCAAATTGCATTAATGGGAGAGATCCGTTGATTTGGCTAAGGTAGGAAAGAATCTATTATTTGTTTGCTAAAGCAAATTGCATTAATGAAAGAGATCCGTTGATTTGGCTAAGGTAGGAAAGAATCTATTATTTGTTTCCTAAAGAAAATTGCATTAATGAGAGAGATTTGTTGATTTGGCTAAGGTAGGCGGTTTTTGCGGTTCGTGGTGGCTCAGTGTGAGGTGGGGCGAGGTACAAAAAAATATCATGGAAGGTGGGACGGGAAAAAACCTGGGAGGTGGGAGTTGTCCCTAGTTAACCTACGAAATTTCATAGATTTTTTTAGGACGAAAAAAAACAAGTGGAGGTGGGACGAAAATTGACCGGTGGAGACTACCAACTGCTCCATCTCTACTCCTAATGAAGCAGTTGGTAGCCTGGTACTCCGGTTTTATTTTCGTCCGGTTTTATTTCATCCCACCTCCCACTACATGTAAGTGCATTGTGACTAAGGAAGGATCAATAGAGAGGTAGAGAGTTTGGTGATGATCATATTAAGTTTAACCAACATTTCACAATTCACATTAGCAAAGATTAAACAAAATCATATGACAGCCCTATCAATTCCTGCTTAACACTTGGAACAAAAAGCATCAAGATAGAACTCAGGAATCAGTAAGTCAGTAAGTTTACCATCGATCATATTCGAAGCATATCATACGCATCTTACATATTACAATGAAAGTCTGCATTATGCAGATCATCTTACATATAACAATGATATATATTTGTTAGTCCGTGGCAACGCATGGACACTTAGCTAGTAAATAAAACAACCGACCTGTCCAACAAGTAGTAGCAACAAACCAAGAATGGGGTGGCAGATTCTCTGTCATGCAGAGCTCATCAACTTGTAACACGAGCGATTCCAGTTTTCAGACCAGATTGGATACAGGAAGTACTGAATTCGTATCACACTGATACAGAGATGGCCGCACTGCAGTAGCTTGCAGTTCATCCTCCTTACCCTAAGAGCATCTCCAGCCATTCGGCCCCCAGGGCGCCAAAAAAGAGCCACCTGGGGATGAGCTGGCGCTAGATTGGCCTCTGGGGGCGACCTAGCTCCAGTCGTCGGCCCACAAGTCGCACCGGGTTCGCGACATCCGTACAAAATATATGAAAACTCGGCATTTTTTCACGAACTCGGTGAAACTTCATTGAAATTTATACAAAAAACACAAAACACATGCAAACTACCCCTAAACTACGCCTAGCCGCCGCCGCCGTCGCCGTTGCCGTCGTCTACATGCCGAGGAGCCTGTAGAAGCGGGTGTAGTCGCCGCCACCGTCGTCGTCGTCGTGCGGCTGGCTTGGGCAGGCGCCGTCCCTGCTGTAGCCCTGGCCCGGGTCGCCGAGGCGTGATGGTGCGCTGGACGGCCCGGCATCGCCTTCCCCGTCGCTATCGAGGACGATGACGCCGCCTTCCTCGCGACCGCAGCGACGGGCCTGGAGCTCCTCGTACGCCGGGCGCTGGCAGCGTACCTGCTCCCGGACATAGTCCTCCTTCGCCCACTTGAGGGCGGACTCGTTGTCGGGGCCGCCAAATCGACGTGCTGCGCCTTCACCGGGAGCAGCCCCGGCTCCGGCTTCGGCCGGACCAGGCGGTAGGATCCGCTCGGGGAGGATCGGGCGGCCTCGTTGATAACGAGGGTGCCGCTGCGGGTGCAGCGCTGGAGCGGCATCTCCTCCGGCTCTGGTTTGATGAGGCGGAGCGCGGCTAGCGAGCCGGAGCCCGACGACGAGGACCACCCCGGCTCCATCCGCCGCAACGTCCAGGAGCTACCACGGCGACGAGAGAAGGTCTCGATGTGGTCGAGGACGGCCTCGAGGGTATGGCCCGAAACGCCCCACCACTCGCGCCGCCTGTCAGCATTGTGATGGCCCTGCGGGATGACTCCAATGGTGGAGGCGATTTACTCCTCGCGGCGGTGCTCGATGTGCATCGTCCAGAGGGCGTGGCTGTCGGTGGTGTAGCGCGACTCGTTCCGCTTTTCCTCCGCCAGGGAGGAGCGAATGCGGGCAATCTCGGCGCGCCACGCCGCCCCTTCGGGCGCCGGTGCCGCCAGGACGCCACCGGCATGCAGCCTCCACGTCCTCGGCACCCGCATGACCAGGGGCGCCGGGTACTCTGCCTCGTATAGCAGCGGCGCCTCCGCCTCTTGGAGGTGGCGGCGGCCGAAGCCGTTTGCCGCCGCGCCGTCGCCTGGGTACCTCTCTGCCATCTTTCTTCTCGACGGAAAGAGGGGAGAGTGCTGCTTTCTGCGCCGGCGAGGGGGGAAAATGAGAGCTGTGGCGTCCACCAGCGGGGAGGTCACCTTTTGTAGCCGTAGATGGGCGGCGTCGGGCTGCATGCCGGGCGACGCGTGGCTGGACGCGCGTCGCGGCTCGTTCACTGCGCCGCCCATGAGCCATCAATTGAGGCTGACCGGCGCGGCAGCGTGGTAGCCATTGCATTGATTCCCGCGGGAACCAAGGCGATGAGGGAGACGAAGCGGCGTGTCGCTGACTCGGTAGGCCCATCCGCTTTCGCGCCAAAACGTCTCGCGTCGGCGCCCCGGGGCGTCGCCCATCGCACCGGGTTCTGTTTGGGTGCACTGGCGCCAATTTCGCCCCAAGCCGGTGAAGAACGGGCTCCTGGAGACGCGAGTGGGCCGATTTTTGGACGCCGGCGCGGGAAAAACGTCTGGGGAGGGCCTGTTGAGGACGCAGCTAGAGATACTATAAAGGTTATACTTTGGAGCATATGTTTATTGAACAGTATAAGGGAAGATTGGTCATTGGGGAAAAATTTGCACTACAGACAAAACAGATAGCTTCTCTGCATGATAGTGCCGTCGGTGGTCATTCAGGCATTCAAGCAACTTATCAACCCGCCAAGAAACTTTACTGCTTGGGACGCGAGAAGCCCGAGAGGGTGAGGGTGGGAGTGCCACGCACCTCGCGCCGAGCCGAAGCCATGCGGTCTTTGCTCGGCAGCACAGACCAACGGCCGCGATAGGCGACGGGTGTGGAGGGGAGCCTAGCCAGTAGTTAGGGCTTCGCTCCCAGATTGCCGGCGGGGAGCAACACGGGACACGAGAAACCCGATAGGCCTAATAACTTCATAGGAGGAAGTTCTACGGAAGTATTGTTAATCAGGTGTCGAGCAGACCATGGTTGTTCAAAGTACAACGTTTGTTTTCTTGGAGTATGTATGAAGATAAAACAAGTTCATTTGATTTTTATCGAATAGATCAATTAATGCTCCGACTGCAGGTTCATCAAAAGATGCAACGACTTCATGCACCAGCATTGTTTTGCACAAGCACGAGATCTCTTGGCGGCGGCGGCTGATTGTAGTCTCGGCAGCAGCACTCTGTTCTGTTGTGACGGCATTTGGACATGATACTGTAAGCGTGACCTCCACCATGTTTTAAAACTTTGCAATAAGAGAGGCACCCTTGAGCAGTGCAGTGCAGTAATTGACGGCACTCCCAGCCCTCCTCTACAAATGAATTACATTGCGGCATCAGCAATTCAGTTTAGCTTGTATACAAAGATAAAACAAGAGTATAGCTAGCTAGCTTTTCTTTTTCCATGTTTGGAAATCGTAGAGTAAAACAAGGACATTGTTGCATACCTTCATCAGTTCCATGACAAGATGGCAGCGAAGAGGACATCATCATGACGACCAAGAGAGCAACCGCCATGGTGTAGACAATCGTCCTTGTATAGCTATTGAGGATTGCCATACTACAAGAAGAGAGTACTTCTACTTGCCCTGCTTCTTCCTTCCCCTATATGGGATCCACGCTGCCAAGCTCCATTGCTGGTATTTATATAGGGCCACCAGCAAGTTGTGGATATCGATCGATTCCTTGTTGCATTTATGCGTATCTTTAAATTAATGTTCACATTAAATAACACACAAAAGTCTTGGATAGGCTTCGCGTATCTAGCATTTATTTCCCCACACTAATTGTTACATATCCTATTTATTTATGCTTTATTTATATGAGCACTAATGTGGGATATTCATTTGTATCATGTATCTGTTTCATGTTTCTCGTAGTGCAATGTATTTCTTGTGTTTATAATAAGGAAAAAATTTACATGGTAATCAATGTTTGGGATATTATAGACATTATTCGGAAATCGGACGATTAATCGATTTTATCTCCAAAGTCCTACCCTTTTCAAGCACTAATAAGGTAAAAATGGAAACAATCAACGGTGTGTGCTTTAAGACTTTAAGTACTTCCTCCGTCTCAAAATAAGTGACTCAACTTTGCACTAACTTTAGTACAAAGTCGAGTCACTTATTTTGGGACGGTGGGAGTTGGACAATACTACATCAATATATAACAACAACATATATCCTGCTTTTGTTATTTCAAAATTCAAATAGGGTTGTGCTCGTGATTGAGGTCTTGGGGAAGAGTCGGGGCACTAGTAGAAAAACGACCTTACGTTCACCTCATTAGTTCCGATTCTTTTACGGCCCGGTACTAATATGACCATTAGTCCCTGTTCCAACGTCTACGGCGCGGGCATCATTAGTCCCGGTTCGTGGTGTACCTCTAGTCCCGGTTTGTGTCACAAACCAGGACTAAAGGAGTGGTGGTAGGCTAGCGTTAGGCTGGACCTCTTTGGTCCCGGTTTGTATAACCAACCGGGACAAAAGACATCCCTATATAAACCCTTCATCCAGCCCTAGCCCATTTTCCCCTTTCCTCTCCTCTCTATTCTTCCCCTCTTGCTCAAGCCCATCCTTCATTTTTGCCAAAATTTGTCAAGATTTGAAAGCACCCCATCCATCCAAGTGTTCACAAAGGTTAGCAACTTTGTCCTTTCATCTCTCATTGTAGATTAGCTCTTGAAATGCTCTATAAGTATTGTGATTTGTGGGTTTTAGTTTGGGAGTAATTATATGTGGGAGTTTGTTTGATTTATATACAACTTGAGCTCAAATTTACTTCATAGTTTGCATGTGTAGGTGTTGTTTACTTAGTGCCTTGCTGTCCCCGTCCTAACCACCGTCGATTGCCCGCACCATCCCGTCACCGGCACCACCTTTGGTGAGCCTCTTATTCTTTTCATTTTTATAAAAAAAGTTCATGTTTGTGTGATTTAGATAGTTATTTGTATAATTTTATTGCCTGTATGGTTGTTTGTTACGCATAGTGGCATGATTTTGATATCCGTCCCCAGCGGCCCTCGTCTGGTTTATGATTCGAATGTGGTGTATACTCTCTTTTGTAACTATTTGTTGCATTTCGTGTTTATGACAATTATGCCCATAAAGTTGACATGGATATTTTTATCTAGGAGGTATGTGAACCGGAAACCAACCCTCTTGCCGAGAAGTTAAATTTAGTTGAAAAAGAAAAGAGTATTTGAAAGAATATTGAAAAGAATTGAAGAAGAGAAGAAGATACTGGAGTTGTTTGTTGTCGATGTCATCGATGATCACAAGATCAAGATGGATGCAATGCGCTTGAGGATTAGAAAGATTAGAAAATATGTCGTTAATAAAGAGGCTTGGTATCACTATGTTGTTGCATCAATTGTTACCTTAGTTGCGATCTTGATCGCATTTGTTGTCGTATTTAAATGCTTTAGCTAGAGAGTTGCTGTGTTGTTTTATGAGAATAAGTGTGTATGAACTTGTATTAATTTGCTCTTTTCGGTGTTGTGTACAATGACCGATGATAACCGATGGATGTACAATGACCGATGCTCTCCCTAGTCCATTAATGGCGTGTGTACTTTTCTGGTTGCGGTTGAGGCAAACAAGCGGGCGGATGGTTTTATGTGTTGTCCATCTGTTGTCTGTAAGAATGATCACAATTCCTCTAACTCAAGAACCATTCACGTCCACCTATTTACATCTGGTTTCATGTCCGGCTATAACTATTGGAGCAAGCACGGAGAAAGAGGGGTCCTAATGGAAGAGAATGAAGAAGAAGAGGATGATGACAGCTATCCTGGCCATAGGTTCCCTGAATACGATGGTACAACAATGGGGGAAAAGCTGAAGAAGAGGCAACAAATGAGCTCGCTGATGATCTTGGTCGGGCCATTGCTGATGCAAAGAGAAACTGCACAAGTGAAAAGGAGAAGCTGAAGTTGTAGCGCATGTTAGAGGATCACAAGAAATTGTTGTACCCAAATTGCGAAGATGACAAGAAAAAGCTGGGTACCACACTGGAATTGCTGCAATGGAAGGCAGAGAATGGTGTATCTAACAAGGGATTTGAAAAGTTGTTGGTAATGTTGAACAAGATGCTTCCGAAGGACAACGAATTGCCCTACAGTACGTATGAAGAAAAGAAGGATGTCTGCCCTCTAGGATTAGAGGTGCAGAAGATACATGCATGCCCTAATGACTGCATTATCTATCGCGATGAGTATGAGGATTTGAACGCATGCCCGGTATGCGGTGCATTGCGCTATAAGATCAGTGGAAGTGACCCTGGTGATATTGAGGGCGAGCAACCCAGGAAGAAGATTCCTATCAAGGTGATGTGGTATGCTCCTATAATACCATAGTTGAAACATTTGTTCCAAAAGAAAGAGCATGCTAAGTTGATGCGATGGCACAAAGAAGACCATAAGAAAGACGGGAAGTTGAGAGTACCCACTGATGGGTCACAATGGAGAAAAATCGTGAGAAAGTGTGGGGGACTATGCAGATGACGCAAGAAACGTATGATTTGGTTTAAGTGCAGATGGCATTAATCATTTTGGGGAGAAGAGCAGCAATCATAGCACCTGGCCTATTGACTCTATGTATCTATAACCTTCCTCCTTGGTCGTGCATGCAGCAGAAGCTCATTATGATGGAAGTGCTCATCCAAGGCCCCAAGCAACCCGGCAACGACATTTATGTGTACCTAAAGCCATTAGTTGAAGAACTTTTACAGTTGTGGGACAAAAAAGGTCTACGTTTGTGGGATGAGCAGAAACAGAAGGAATTTGACCTGCGAGCGTTATTGTTTGTAACCATCAATGATTGGCCTGCTCTTAGTAACCTCTCAGGACAGACAAACAAGGGATACCACGCATGCACGCACTGTTTAGATGACACCCAAAATATATATTTGGATAAATGTAAGAAGAATGTGTACCTGGGACATTGTCGATTTCTTATGATCAATCATCTCTTAAAAAAGAAAGGCAAGCAATTCAAAGGTGAGGAAGATCACCGGACGAAGCCTCGCCACCATACTGGTGATGATATACTTGATATGGTCAAGGATTTAAAAATAATATTTGGAAAGGGTCCTGGCGGACAATATGTTCTGAATGACGCTGACGGACTCGCACCCATGTGGACGAATAAATCTATATTTTGGGACCTACTCAATTGGAAAGAACTAGAGGTCTGCCCTGCAATTGACGTGATGCACGTGACGAAGAATCTTTGTGTGAACTTGCCAGGCTTCTTGTGCGTGTATGGGAAGACAAAAGATACACCGGAGGCATGGGAGGACCAGCAAAATATGCACGAAAAAGACGACATGCATCCAAAGCAGTGCTAGGGTCCTGCCAGCTACACTGTTACCAAAGAAGAAAAGGAAATCTTCTTTGAATGCCTACTCAGTATGAAGGTCTCGTCTGTCTTCTCATCGAATATAAAGGGAATAATAAATATGCCAGAGAAAAAGTTCCAGAACCTAAAGTCCCATGACTGCCACGTGATTATGACACAACTGCTTCTAGTTGCATTGAGGGGGCTTCTATCGGACAACATTTGATTAGCCATCGTGAAGCTATGTGCATTCCTAAATGCAATCTCTCAGAAGGTAACCGATCCAGAAATCTTACCAAGGTTATAGAATGATTTGTTGTAATGTCTTATCAGTTTCGAGTTGGTGTTCCCACCATCCTTCTTCAATATCATGACGCACGTCCTAGTTCACCTAGTCATAGAGATTGCCATTTTGGGTTCTGTATTTCTACACAATATGTTCCTCTTTGAGAGGTTCATGCAAGTCTTAAACAAATATGTTCATAAGCATGCTAGGAGGGAAGGAAGCATCTCCAAGGGCCATGAAACAGAGGAGGTCATTGAGTTTTGTGTTGACTTTATTCCTGACCTTAAGCCGATTGGTGTTCCCGAATTACGGCATGAGGGCAGACTTGGTGGAAAAGGCATGCTAGGAAAGGACCAAGTAATATGTATGGACGGGCATTCTTGGGGGCAAGCACACTACATAGTTCTACAAAATTCCGCATTGGTGGCTCTGTATATCGAGGAACACGAGAATATTCTATGCTCCAAACACCTGGAGCAGTCTAACAACTGGAGTACACGTGAACAAATGGCGACTTTGGCGGTTGGTTGTTGACACATCTCATGCATGACGACAGTGTTGCAGATGAGTTGTACTTGCTGGCCAAGTTACCATCTTCGACTATATTGACTTTCAAAGGGTACGAGATAAATGGGAATACATTTTACACGATCGCCCAAGATAAAAAGAGCACCAACCAAAACAGTGGTGTCCGACTTGATGCAGCAAACACCAATAGGCCAAAGGACACATATTATGGTTACATAGAGGAGATATGGGAACTTGACTATGGACTTGGTTTGAAGGTCCCTTTGTTTCGGTACAAATGGGCCAATCTGACAGGAGGCGGGGTAAAGGAAGACCCGCGGTACAGAATGAAAACAGTGGATCTCAACAATCTTTGGCGCAGA